CTGTCCTCCTATGATCGGTTTTTTACAGTTTGCTGTCTCACTCTGATGCCAACCGAAAGCTCGAATGTCTGATACAGATGCAGTGTGATGCGCAACAGACGTGCGGGGAATACGCGCGCGAGTCTTCCCTTTTAGCGGTGGCATGTGTTTAGCGGGCAGAAAACGGTATAAACGCGGTTTTATGTATGTCTTCGGGTCTCATAGCTTTTTGATAGTAGCCAGACGTTAAGTCCAAAGTAGTCATGTATCTAGTAGATTTAATCTTTCTAATAATTTCCTCTATAACCGGCAAAGGGTAAACTGGGAATTTAGTAATACTATTTAGTTTTCTGTAATCGATAGCAAAACCTCCAAGCCCTTTTATCCGAAGGAGGAAACTCGTTTTTTCCTACATAGTACGACTGGACTCGCGTACTCACTATTTATGGGCGTTATTATTTTGTTCTTTAACATTTCCTGAATATGTTCTTCGATGATTACGTCTTTTTGTTTATCATAGCGATAAGGTTTAGTCCTACAGGGTTTGTCGGCAGTTAACTGTATCTCATGCGTAACTATTTGACAGCTACCAGGCCGTTTTTCTGAAAACAAGTTTGAAAAAGTACTCACCACTTGCTGGATGGCTTGACTTTCATGGTCATTCAAATGGCTAAGGTCAACTTGCTTGCGGTTGTTCCACTGGTTCCACCACCCTCTGGATCCATCTCCAGCACAATAGAACTTTCCTGAAAATTCAGTTTGGCCCTCGCGGCCCTTAAAAACTCCATACCTAAAATAAGTGGATTTTGCAAATTTTTTACTACAAAAATTAATACTTTGAGGCTTTCTCTTTTACCTGTATGTTTAATGATAATTTCCCGATGCAGTGACAGGTTTTTCCTTGCGCCGCTATAATTTCTGTGTTTTTGGTTTTTAAATAATCGTAACCTATAAAAATTCTTCTTGAAAAAATGTTATCACTCATAAAATTACCTTCTGCTCCTGTATCGATGAGGGCTTCTACTGGTACATCGCCAACCAGGACTTGTATAATTGGTAACTGTGAGTTTTTACGATGACCGTATTTAAAGTGTCTTTTGAGGGTTTTTTTCAAAACTTCCGGGGTCTGGACCCTCGCTTTCACAGGCCCCTCTACTCGTTTAAAGCTTTCCTTTCAACTTCTGCCTTCTGGGTACGCGGACGGTTGTTTTCAAATTTCCTTTTTGGGCCTTGACCTTCGAGTTTCGATGAGTTAGCTTGATAGCTCTTTCCCCCATAAGAGCGGATTTGCATTTCTGGTTTGCTCATTTGAAGATTGCCTTCGGGATACTTTGAGAATACGATGCCCCTCTAGCTTTTTCCGCTATTCTGCGATTTTGGAACTTGACCGCCAATTCGAAGAGCTCCTGCAATGTGCTTGGGTTTCTAATTTCGAAGTAGTCTTGAACAGCAGGTAACAATCTTGGTAAGATTATTTCAATAATCTCCGCGTCGGGTTTCTTCCCATACAGCATATCCGTCAGCTTAATTTTTCGCAGAATAAAGTCCGTCAACTCTTCTATATCCCGTTGATAAAAACTATATAGTTCGGCTTCTAGCCTTGCTCGATCTTTCACTATGGGGAAGGCCTTTAATAACGATTTTTTGAAATTTTCAAATGTATATGTCTGGCCTCCGAATTCCCCTAATAAAAATTTGCCTATATTCTTCCACCATAGCGCGGCCTGTCCTCTTAGTGCAGATGTGGCGATGGCAACTTTTTGTCTTTCAGGCACAGGGTAGAGCTGGAAGTGATTTTCTAGGCCTTCTAGAAATATCGCCACCGAATTTTTTCCGTCGAAATTGACGTTTGGCTTGATTGACGCTCTCAACGTCTGGACCAGGTATCCAAATCCTTCCAATTGGCTTGCCATTTCTTGTTGTCCAGCAACTTCCATCCAATTTTCGGCCATTTCAGTTCGACAAGTGTTCGGGCGCCAATGTTAAAGTTGCGCGCCTTCCAACCTGCACGCAACAATAGTGGTGACTGCTGAAGAACTGGAAAGTAGACCAAGTCTTGAGAAGGGTTTAAATCCCTTTTTATTCAACTTTAGAAATTACAAATGCGTGCTCTTGACGCTCACAAACTACGCCGACCCGGCGGTAAAATAAAAATAAGAAACTGAAAAAGAATAATAACAAGTGACTAACTACGAGGCTCTCTAAAACGTAACTAACCTCACCGCGTTCTAAGATACCGCTGATAATTCAGCAAACTTCTGAATATTACGTTGAAAGATTAACAATCTGCCGAGGCAAGCACACAGGCCGAAACGCGTGGTTCTTCAATTTCTAACTAGCCACCTCCACGCTCGTGAAGCAAAGAAGCACACTTTCGAACTCGTTTCCCTTCTATTTAACTCTGAATACTTCCGCTGATAATTTGAATCCTTGCGCGTTCTACTAAAATTTACATACTCTGGCATTGGCGATTCCAGGGGAAAGTAAGGCTTAACAGGAAAGATAGTTTAAACTTAAAATAAATGTTAGTCAAAATAAATATAAACCCTACAAATTTCCAAATATGCAGCCAGCATAGCAATCGAGAAAATTATTCACAAACCAGTCTTTTGTATATCTTGTGCGATCCCTAAAACGTGCATCTAGAATCTATATGAAGCTTATATGATAATTAAATATTTTTTTGACTTCGAAAAAATATATCCATAATCGTATAAAGAGGCACTAACAAAATTCATATCAACTACATTTACAAAATCTGGGAAAGGTTACAGAATATGAGACGTGTTTCCGGTTATATTTTTGAAGCGGGACAATGTATTGAAACGTGAGATTATGCAGCACAGATTGAATAGTCAGTTCATTTTATATTAAAGGCAGAATCTACAGTTTTTGATATTTGCAGATCCCCAAGTTTAAATATAATTCAGAAATTCATTTTACGGTCGGTTGAAGTTTTTAATTACTGAGAACGATAAATGAAATTAGAAGGCTTTATCAAACTAGGAGTGAAACCTGCGGCCTCCGTCTGACATCAATCAAATATCAAAAATTGAAAATATAAGGTATTTCTCCCACTTCCCTAGCGAGCCTTCGTGGTGTAGTGGTTCTGCACACTGAGCCGGTATTTCAGAGGTATGTGGTTCGATTACTGGCGAAGGCGATTGCTAATTTTTCATCTCTACGGCTTTTTCACTTAACCTAATGTCTCTACAGTGGCGCCAGAACTAAAAGGGTTGTAGATGATGAATCTACACACCCAGAATTTGGCGATTGGGTCCTCTAAAACCCCAGTCGCCCTTTTAAAAAAAAGGGGATTATCTCCCCCTTTCCCTATCGTGCCTTCGTGGTGTAGTGGTTCTGCACGCTGGGCCGGCATTCCAGAGGTCCGTGGTTCGATTCCCGGCGAAGGCGTTTGCTATTTTTCATCCTTTCTGCTTCCAAAAAGCCTAATGTCTCTACAGCGGCGCCCGAACTAAAAGCGTGTTGGATGATGATTCTCTGCACCCAGAATTTGGCGATTCGGTCCCCTAAAAACCCTAGTCGCCCTTTAAAAGGGGGGAGTATATAAGGTATGTCTCCCGCATCCTGGCATGCCTTCGTGGTATAGTGGTCAGCACACTGAGCCGGTATTTTAGAGGTCCGTTGCTCTATTCCCGGGGAAGGCTTTTGCATACTTTTCATCTTTTCTGCTTCCAATTAACCTAATGTCTCTACAAAAATAGTAATGTGTCCCTCAGCAATTGATCCGATTATGTCAGTTCCAGAAACGTTTGACCTTTCAAATTACATTTCAGTTTTTATTCATGTTTCTTTGAAGATGATAATAATGATGCAACATCTTCGTGGTTGTCAAGGCAAATGATATCGGAACTGTTAATAAATATTCCTAGGGTAATCCATATGTTATGATATATATCTTACTAAAGAAGCTTCTGGTGTTTTAGGTCTCCAGAAGTAGTATTCCCTAAGCTATACAATTATATTCTCTTCAGCATTAATATTAGATTAGTAGCTACTTAATATATGGCATTTGTTATATCTGTATTTCTTAAACCAATTTGATTTTAGCTTACATCTTTTCGATTGCCTCATTTTGTCAAGGTCTCGCTCATTCCAGAGATTATGCAAATATGAGTGGCAGCAGTTTAGTATAAATTTAGAAAATAGGTCGCAGCCATATGGGAGTTAAAATTAACATTGGCTGCCTACACGTACAGCTTGTCACTTTGCGAATAGGCACTGCTTCGTGTAAGACTAGAATCTTAAGGCATGTTTGATGATAAATTACATTTTGAGTAGATGTTAATTGTTGAGATCCAAACTGTAGCGTTTTCTTACGCGTAGTTAGGTTTTGTAAATTTCAAAGACCACTTAAAACTTATTTTGTTACAGTGGTGCCCGAAACAAGGAATAATATGGACTATTATGTGTCTCAAATTTGGGCCAGTCGACTAAGGTCTTTCCCAGTCAGCCTTAAGTGAGGTTATGTACGGAATTAAAAGCATTCTTCCCAAGTTTTAATAAAACCTTATTGCTATCATCTACGCATTTGCTGCAGATTCCTATCATACTAAACTTTACATGTTATTTCATCTCAGCTTGGAAACTGTCTGTTTTTTCTACATTAATATAGGTTCTGAATGTCATTATAAGCCACATAATTAAACCCTGTTCCCTTTTTGAGGACTAGACTGAATACTGACGTTTCTAGCTAAGGTACTGTGAATATTTCAACAAACCTCCTTCCAAAAATCCTAATATGTCCACAAACTAAGCTTCCAAAGGTAGCCAAGTTTCTCTCTTTCTACGATATTAAAATGCGTTTCATACTGTACCTTATGTTCCTATCTAGATTTCATAAGAAATGTTATAATTGTACAATAAATGCATAAGACAGTGTTTCTAAAATAGCACTAATATTTTAATTAGTGATTTTTGATCAAATTTCGGTTTTTGATCTAATCAAATTTCTTTTCAAAACATTAAAACTTAAGGCATATTGAAATCACTTAGCTTACTTTTCGGCAGCTTTGCCGCAGGCTTCCAATGTGTCCACTGGTGGAAGTTCATCTTCTCCTTCTCCTGAGTCGTTTGTGGGGGACTTCTGGGATGAATCCTTAGTTTTGCGAACGAGGACTGAACCTCCTGTAGGGAAATACAGAAAGCAAATCGCATTTTTAGAAGGTTGTTCTTGCATAAGATTTTTAAGTCAATTTATTTAAACTCTTCGATATAAGTCGAGTATTTTAAATCAGAAATGTTTTGGATTAGAAGTATAGCGTAAACAAAAGTAAAAAAAAAAAAGATAACGATTTGTATTTCAGTGCATTTACGATTTATATCAAAGCAAACAACGAAAAAAAAAACATTTTGGGTAATTTTTTTAATTTCAATTATGGGCACCAGACCGCAGCGTTGTACTTGGAATCTATAATATATACCTCTGCTGCTGTAAAATCATCACCGTCAAAAGTCAGTGTCATGTTAAACTGCTACAAAACACCATTTTTTATAACTTGGAAAAATGCCAAGCAATGAATTTCGTAAGATGATCACATAACACTAGTTCTGTTTTATTAAGGATTGGCGAAAATTGCTAAAAAAGGCCGTCAAACTTTGTTACACGAATTTCAAAACCTGAAAATTTTGTATTGTTTTCGTCTGGGACTTTCTCAGGCCGGTGTACAAAGAACATCCAGTGTCAGTAGTTATGTAAAATATGCTATGGGATTACAATTATTAACGATTTTCGTAGAAAATCCGTTCCTGCACTCCATGAATTTGAGCTATGTCTTCAGATAATACTCAATAAAGATGATTACCCATGTACTCGTGCGCGAAATGTGTACCGCTTACGTTGATACAATCTCGGAATCTATGCGGAACATTGTGATACATGACGATAAACTAGTCACAGCTAAATGAAAGTCGATGTTAGCATCTTCTTTTAAAGCTTCATCTTTATTGTATTTTCACCACTTGACTAGCGTCCGATTGAGTACGCATGAGGGTTCACGCTCGTAAAAATGAACATGGTTAACATTGCCACATCGTCGGCTGAAACGTCAATTAAACGGTATTACTAAGGTACCATAAGTTTATTGAGAATAATTCATTTAGCTAATAAATATTTCGATGAATTCGAAGCAGTTAGGATTTTCGGCACAATACAATACTTTTAGATACGAAGTAGTCATAAAAATGTTCGACCAACTTTGAACCCTGACTTCCTAGAAAACGAGGAATTATTTGAAACTTTTAAATTCACGATGACAGGTGCGTGCGAACAAAAATAAAATACATATCACGATTACGGTGTCCGCCGATAACATCGCGGCAAAAACATCGTGGACGAAAACGTCGCGGAGAAAACAACGCAAGGTGAAAACGTCGTGCTACAAAACATCGTGGGAGAAAACATCGCAAAGAAAAAAACATCGTGTACAAAACATCGTCGTAGAAAATAAAGCGGTTCAAAAATCGCAGTTTAAAAAAACATCGTCGTCGAAAATATCGTGGTAAAAAATAAAGTATCTCAAATCATCGCATGGCGATAACATCGCAGACATGCTTTTTCAGGTTTAATAATTGTAAATGGATATTCCCTATGATTGTGAGCGCAAGGTGTAAAGAGGATAAAATTTTACTTTCCATTTTTATTAACTAATAAATTTTGCTGAAACGTAAGAAGGAAAACTAAGCATAGAAAATTAAATGTAACTTATAGATTATACTTTTCATGAAATATTACCAGTAAAAACTTTAAAAAATGTTTTATTAATGGCTTTGTTAGTTAACTATGTCTGTTTAAAATTTATTAAGTGCTATAAGTTGCATTAATTTTTTATGCTTAAGTTCCTTTTATTTCTCAGCAAAAATGTATTAATTAATAAAAAAATGAAAGTAAAAATATCCCTCTTTCCATCTTGCGCTCACAAACATTATGGGAAATCCATTTACACTTATTAAAGCATGCTGAAAAAAGCATGTCTGCGATGTTATCGTCATGCGATGATATTAGAACTTTATTTTTTACCACGATATTTTCAACGACGATGTTTTTTAAACTGCGATGTTTTGACCGCTTTATTTTCGACGACGATGTTTTGTACCATGATGTTTTAGAACTGCGATGTTTTCTCTTTGCGATGTTTTCTCCCACGATGTTTTGTAGCACGACGTTTTCGCCTTGCGTTGTTTTCTCCGCGACATTATCGTCTGCGCTGTTTTTGCCGCGATGTTTTCGGCTGTAACCCACGATTACAGTTAATGTGAATGTATATAGAACATTTTCAGCAAAAACATCTGGATTTAACGATGACAGCTATTCCGTACGACAGAAAACCTTATAAAACGTTGGAATGGTGTTATAAATTTAAAACAACTCCATGCGTTAAATGAGAAGCATGGAGATTATGAGAATGAAAAATAATAGGAGATGAATATGATTGAATATATTGTATAATACAGTAAAATTATTTTTTATTTGCCTGAACTCACAAATATTTATATTTCATCTAAAACAATGAAGTTAATTTTTATTTGGTAAGCCATACAGAATTAAGAGTATAATCTTGCTTCTATTTTTATTACACTAAAGTAACAAAATTGAGAAATTTTTCATTTGCTTAAAATCAAACGCGAAACCCGTTTATGTTCTAGTCAAAACACAATATTTGTTGTCCATTTTGCGGTCATTAATAAGCACAGCGTCTATATTACTTTCACATATGGAATTTAGAATTAAAAGTATTAAATAAATCGATTTTAATTTTTCTTAACTTGGAAAAGATAATAAACAGTCGAAGTAACTGTAATGTTGGGTACCTAGAAGATTGGACGTAAGTAAACTGAAAGAAAACACAATTGCAAATTCGGAATGTTTCAACTCTTATCATTTCATTCCTCACTCAGAAGAAAACAATTCACAGATTATTCATAAAGTAAAAGCCAACTACAACTGCTTAAAAAAGTTACGTGTATTTATTCTTCATGCACACATGTACTCTAGAATGTAAATTTTCTTATTTTTCTTCTTAAACTTCTTTTTAACTTTTTTAAACGTTCTTCTTTCAGTTCCCTTTAACGAGAAATTTTTATTTTCATTTAAAAATTCTCCACTTTTGTCTGCAAAAGGTTTTAAATACCATATTTAAGGATAAAATAAAATAATTTAATAAAGAGGTTGTAAACTTAATTCTCTAAATTCAGGCATATAATCTGAAGATCGTATTTCAAGTAATTAAATTCCCATTGCGGTATACAATCTTTCTAAATCATGCTTCATTAACTTCAGTATTAAACAACCAAATAATTGTTAAACGGTATTTTACGTCAAGACATTCCCTCACTCTCGCCTATTTTTATTAAGTGGTATCTCGTGGGATGGTCACAAGGGACCTAAGTTTTCGCATGCTTTATTTATGTGACCGTGAATTAAATAAAAGAAATAAAGCCTGTAGCTACCATTTTTTAATACCCTGAATAACATACTTCTGTTTTCATTCATAGACTCTCAATATCAAATATTTGTTACTAACAGCCGTCCGAAATGTTATTGCTGATTGTTTAACTTATTTAATTAATGCAAAGCAATTTAATTAAATCAAGCAAGATAATTTGGACTTTTTAAAATAAAATATGAACACATACAAACTTTCCGTGCACCACAAATGTACAAAACGGGGCACATAAAAGCTATTACGGATTGCGAAGTATTCGTTAAACAAAACTAAGGACTTTTTATGTGTAAGCATAGGTAATTTTATGTGTTAGCATGTTGGCATAAAATAAAAAGTTATCGAATTGAACCTTTGGAGCATATTGGATGTGTATATGTGAAGCAGGATAAACCACGACAAAAGAAAAAAAATGTCTTGGTACATTTTTTAAAAATTTCTACGGGTTTGAGAATTTAAGATAAAAATATCAACAACAAAATGTGAAAACAAACGACTACAGTACCTGCTTGTTTAATTTAGCTTTACAGAATATGCAAGACTAAACGCTCACTTATATGCAAAAATGGAAAAACCTATCACAAAGACTATTCAAGGAAAAAAAAATATCGAGAACATCTTTAATTAAAGTTTCCCATTTCATCCCCAAAATAAAATTCAGCAGAAAAGACAACATATTTATATACCACAGGGGTCGTGTTAAAAATAAAACTGAATATTTTTTATCACAAGAGAACTAGGTTTCGTGTTTAACAACGTCCAATTCTATAAAAAAAGTGTTTGCAAAGCCAGATTTCCCACTAAAACTGTTGAATAATGTAATTTTGCCGTATGTTCGCTATGTGTGTTTTGCATCTAAAGTAACAGTAATGAGACAGAATGTATCTGCAGTGCTCGGTTTTGCAGCAAACTAATGGTTTCTGCCTGAATAAAATATCTTTTTCTACATTACTAATTCATGTTATTTATGTCTTTTGAGATGAGACATTTCAAATGCTATAGAAGAATATTATTGCATATATAAACGGGGCTATACGCATGCTGCAGAATTAAAATTTGACTTGGACCGATGTCCAGGAACAAATAATATCTATAAATGATTTAGGAAATTCCTAATCATGAAAATCATGTTAAGAAACACCAGTTTTTGCATAGAGATTAAAAGGTTAAGATTATTACAAGTCACGAACCAAATATTTGATTGGTTGACTGTAATTATTTCTGTTATTTCTAGTCTATAAATATTATGCTAAATTTTGAACTAATTATTGAATTAGCATACAGCAATAAATTATCTATCGATTCCTTACTAAACCTGCGAAATAAAAGAATACTGATAATTATGAGGGTAATAATCGTGAATTAATACATTCCTTCTTGGTAATTTATAGCTTTCTTCAAACAAAATTAAGAAATCTCCAAAACTAAATTAAAATTAAAAAAGATTGTGAGTGAAAAAATAGCATCTTTTGATGCTAACAAATAAAACAAAATCATTGCTATTAAATAAATTTAAAACTCAACTAGACTAAAAAGAAATTCAATTTTGAAAACGAAGTCATTTGTTTCTGAACTTTTATGAACGTAAAATGGTATAAATAGAAAGTATCAAATATAAAAATATTAAAAATTACATAACTGTTGAAATGAAGATGATCGTTATATATATATACATATGTATGTGTG